TGTCAACCTTAGTTCCAACAAATGTAGTTGGAAGTAGATAAATGAAATAGATAGGTTCAGTGAGTCAGTCGCCGGTCACTTACCCTCGTGAGGTAGAAATAGTCTATATTAATTGTTTATTTAAAAGAATGCTTTGAATACACACACTAATTATTGAAAAAGTTTTGAGAATTGTGTACAAGAGAATATCGCGATAAAGACTATTATACAATTATATTTTGCACACAATAAGAAGCTGAGTGTTTTAAGCTAAAAATTAGTTTAATAGAAATGAAATCCATTTATAGAGAAGATATGGAATAAGACTAAAGAATAGGCACTATCACCACCACAATTTACCTAGTTGAGATGCGTTTGAACTCCTATTTAAAAATAATAGCTGTATGTTTAAAAATAAGCTTAGCAGCTTCTACCAATTTAAACGAAAATGAAAAGCCTCCAATAAACATTATATGCGAACTCATAAAGGTTGTTGAGTTAAGAAAAATATTTTTTTAGCATTTTATTCAAATAAATTTCTCCTTTTGCACAGGAAGTAAGTTCACGGCCGAACGATAATAAAATCAATTAAACTGCGTAGTGTTTTAAAATACATATAACGATGTATTATGTACTTTTATTAGATACCTACTCTATAAGTATTTACCGCGATGGTTACAAATACTAAATGTCTCAAACGTTATTCACTAGTAGGAGTACGAACACGGTAAAGTCACTCAGCCAGCGAGGCACAGATCATTCTTCTGTACCCTGATCGCCCGAAACATTCTATTGTTTCCCCGGGGTTCGAACTCCTAGCGTTGGCTATGTAACGCGTTTAATCATATAGTTACAGATCCGGTCATTACATTGCAATAAAACTATTGTGTTTAAGATTAATAGCAAAAACAATGCAAATATACTTTTTGAGATAATTCTTGAAGATTAAATGATTGAAGACTTTAAAGTAACTTATTTAAATAAATCACTTTACCTGTTAAAAAAAACATAATATATTACTAACATAACTTTTCAACTTCTTCATATAGGTATTATTAATAGGTATATATAGTATAACTAATATATTTCACGTTTTAAACCGTTTTAGTGTTTCATTGAAATGTTCAGTGACTTTACCGCAGCAGGCGAAAATAAAGAGCGAATTTTCCATTAAAATAGTTGAAAATAACTAGTTGCAGCGCCTAACGCAGTTAGTTGCGGCAAAAAGTAACTCGTTGGACTTTAGCGCAACACGACAACCCGTTCGCTAACTGTACACAGGGCATTACCTGTCATTAATAGAAATTGCCATTTATATACACTTAATATTGAATAAATAATTTAAATGATATTCAAGTAATGTAAGAAATTTGCTAAAATCGCTGAAAAAAGTCTCTAATGACAGCTTGATTTAACTGGTAAGGTATATATTTAAGACAATTTTTATTTGTATTTCCGTTGTATGAAGCGTGAAAACTATCGAGACTTGTCAGAACACGTTTAAAAACCGATTATAATAGATTAAAACCTTTAATGCACCTATTTTACGCAGTCGGTTAAAATTATCATCCCACACGCTTCACACTATCCAAACACATTTAGACTGGTTTAAAAATAAGCGTAAAAGGATCTTGGGCCCGAGGAGTGATAATTATCCAGAAGTTGATAATTGATCTACCGGTCCACGCAGCCAGGAAGTCTGAGGGTACGTGAGCATTACAGAATCTGATCGTTTCGTTAAATTATTAACGATCGTTTGTGCTTTCATGTTCATAATGTATTTTGGAATATATTGTTTACAAATATGATGTACAGATTATTCTTATTATGTAGTAAGTACACCCTCTATTATGCAGTACGAGAGGACATTTTATAAACTTAAGAAATTCCAAAGTCAATTGTTTCTTGTCTTTCTATAGACTGGACAAACTACACGTTGCCTTCAGTTTGTAAATAATGCCTTCGTTATTAGTACTCTATGCCAAATATATACGAACCCGGTTTGTGATGCCTGTGTTTCTTGCCTCTGCCATCAGCGGTTGTCACCAACAACAGACACAAAATATACCGCCACATCTTTCACATCACTAATTACACAAAATACTAAAATAACACATTTAAATTGTTAATTATCTGACACGAGTCTAATCATTACAATTCACAACATTTTATTCAAATAGATATTTAACCAAAGTTGATTCAAAAAACGCGAGCGGCGGGATTTTTCTCGTAAACTGTTCCAAAATTTAACGACATGCACCCTCCCACGCGTCTCGATGTGTACTGACATGAGACTTAGAATAATCTGTGCTCTAGCAGGTTAAATGTTTGAAAAGCTTCAATGTCATCGATTATCTTTATCAAACAAAATCTTCTTCAAAACGAGTGAATTATTATTTTTTAAAGATTATTCCTTAAATAAAAACCTAAAATTCTATACAAGAAATACTTACCCCTCCGCAAAACTGAAAAGCTTTACCGTTCATTACAAGAAAGTTCGCTATTAAAATCAGAGATGGCGCTCTCAACCAAAATTTTTGATAATGAGAAATTCTATACGATGTTATGTATTAGCATGGTAATCTTTTCGTATACACTATGCATGGATTTTAAAACTTAAAGCGTTATGTGTTTTTATTTTTTATTTTAATGTGGAAAAAGATGAAGGAATGATGTGAAATGGATTGACTTGTGAAATGTATAAATATATATGAATAGGAAGAAATATTTCGCCAGAATATTAAAAAACCTAGAAGTGAGACTACAAAATACGAACAATAAGCCAAAAATGTTTAATGTCATAATAAATGTACACTGCTTTAACACCAAAATACACGGCGCGCACGCCCACTAACGTTTATCTAAAAAAGTCCACTAAAATTAATAATTTCATACAATCGGATAGATTCATCAGAATAGCAGCGCGATATTATAATACAAGATCAAGGTACAAACATACGCTCCAACGCCTTATCGAGATTAGGACACACCTTAAGTATATTTAAATTAAATTTATACATACAATTCGTCTATTCTATGATTATGGATCGTGATTATGTATTGTAATGCAAAGTATTAGGAAACGTATAAAACCTTTTCTCTTATAATAGTTTATTGTTTCGCCTAAGTGTGGTCGGGACGCGACTGACGAAGTCTAGCTAACATTTATAAGATTTCATTTAATGGCTCGCCTAAGTGTAGTCGCAACCCTACCGACATCTATTATTATCGCCATAGATATGTCTAGAGCAGGTGGGTGACGCGTCCCCATCCTACGAATTATTTGCAACTAGCTATTATATCAATATTACAATATTTCACGTTACTATCCATAAACGATATTTCGAGTAAACATAAAACCTTGTTTACAATAACCACTTTCGGTATAGCACTATTATAAATAAACACCACCTACTTACGTATGGGCTTGTTATTTTGGAGTATTTTTTGTTGTAAATACTAAACTATAATTCTTGTAATGCGAAAAAATAACTTTCCACGGTTTAACTTTTAAATGCATTATTATACCACGAAGTAGGTACTATAATTTCCTAATAAGTTTTTAATCCATTAAACTCTTATCAAACCTCAATATTGAAAATACTAAAGTTACTCCAATATTTACTTGGTACACCGCCATCTAGTAAATATAAATGTTAAACCGGTTAAATGCGCTTTAGCAAGATAGATTGTTTCTGAATTGAGAGTTATTTATTGCTTTAATCTGGTCCTACTGTTGTCTTCAAATTATAAGTTACGAGTGTTAAAATAATTGGAAACAAAACAACAGCATATAATTCTGCTCTCAATTGATGTTTGTTAAATTTGTACGATAGATGGAGCTAAACTAGATCAAAATGAAACGATTAAAATATTTTTTGTTCGTCGGCATAAATTCGTACTTTACAGATATGTAATTTGTGATTATGTGCGCATTTAGCAGTAGTTTAGAAAATAATATAAACTTGTATAGCCGTCTAAAAATGCAGATTGAATAAATGCAATTTATTTTTCATGAGTACATTTTCCTGTATCTGTAGCCGACTATACAATACATTTTTAGTCTGTAATGCGTCCTCGTATACAGAAATCATTTAATAAGTTATCTGTGATCACACTTTTGTTTATTTTACATTTTGGTTATGTTAACATTACATAGATTATGTAAACTCTAATTTAGTCTGAGAAATTTAACTTCACTAAATTTTATCCTTTTCAACAAATAGATAGTACGTACAACACAATATGTTATGCTGCGATATATTTTTTATCTGTCTTCTATAAAATTGACATTAATCAAATAAACAATGAATATTTCTAATCTGGTTGTTCTATTTGAATAATGTGTAAATTAGTATTTTTTTTTACAAAATTCGACCTGATGCGAAGCCGGAGCGCGTCACTTGTATAAAAGACCATAAAATTATACAATTTCTTATCCACTGAAACAGTTTGACCAGAGATACGATATGGATATTTATAACTAAGTACAGATTTGTTTCCGAACTCTATCCATTCACGTCGAATCCGTATATTCTCTTCTATCCATAATCACCTATTAGTCCATCTAGTTAATCCAGCTTTAACTGGTCTCTTAAAAAAAGGTCGACTATTCACGATTTCATTAATCATTAGTGAATTTTATAACCGTCTACCCATACATAACATGAAATTTTTATTTATAATCATATTGTTTGTCATATTTTTGTGCAATAAAGAGTGGATAAATAAAATTAAAAAATTTATATATTAACAAAGGATCGTTTTGCTTCTAAAATATCTTCAAATTGACATAAGTTGTAGTAGACAATGGATAGCAGAGTAAATACAGCCGGTTCACACTATTCATCCAATGTATACATAGTACTTAGTTATATAAATCCCCTGGTCTTCGTAAGGTCCACGACGACTTTTGCCATGATATCCTGGGTGCGGAAGGGGGCCGGTACGGCGCCCCCGCCCTGCGGGCCCGACCGGGCCGCCTCAGACGAACCACTCGTCCTTGTGCGGGGCGGCGCCGCTCAGCGCTGCGCCCGCGCACGCAGGCGGCCCGGGCGCGCCGCCCTGTACCTGCAACGTGCCACAACTCCTCATCCTTACACAGATACTCGAAATGCTTATTATTTCAGATATGTATACTGTAATTCCCACTCTTCTCTCAACTTCGTCTTGACTACCGTCTTACCTTACTTAATTTTTTTTTAGTTTTTTTGCAGTGTACTCAGCTTAAGATCTCAGTAACTCTGCACTTAACTTACTCAAAGGAAATTTATTAGTCTACCTAATCTTCCATTCTTACATTTAATGTCGGCCAACAAGGACCTTCGTTAGTACCCTAAAGGCAAGAAAGAAATGCTAATTACCCGCGCGGGCCCGCAGGGTGCGCCCAGTTTCCCGGCAGCCGCGTGGCGCTGCCCGGCGAGCAGGGAGCCTTGGTGCCGGCGCCGTTGCTGCTCGCCATTTGCTCTACTGCAATTTAAATAATTTTTCGTTAGCAGCACATTCTAAAACTCCGATACGTCGCGTAAGTTAGCTATTGTTTAAATAATCTTAGATTGTTTTTTATCCGTATTTTATGATTATTGGAAAACTATTCTTGCTATAGCAGTAGTAACATGCTCTTCCTTGATTTGATTCGTCCATCGATGTTAATCTATTTACTCGTTAAACTTACAATGTAAATGTGTGCGACGGTTGGGAGCTCTCCGCCGACAGTAGCAGCATAGCAGCGCGACCACTATTAGCAGCAGTAGCGCTGCTGAGCCCGCTGCTATCGCCACCCACGCCTCACCCGCACTACCGCCACCGGTTTCTGAAAATATTAACATCCACTATTGATACTATCACGAAACAAGGAAGACCTATACAGTTGGTATTTTCAATTTAATCAACTTAACTGCACTATTCTAGAAACTGTCACCCAATTTACCATTCTGATGCCGTTGGGAAATTGTTGTTCTGCTTAAAATATACACACCTGGTCCAACATGTTTAAAACATTTTTAATTTTTATTTTTTCTGAAACATGTTCTTCTGGAAATCTGGATATTGAATGGGTGGTAGGAATATCCGAGTCACGAACCACCTTCAACAGATGAAAAGCGATGAATTTTATCGCGTCTCGGTTTCAGTGTGTGGATATCCGAATATCCAAAGCCAAAATAGATAAACAGCGTGCTCGTCTGTCCTCCCCTATATGGAAAAATAAAGCTTCCCCTTACCGGGGCAGAGAGCGGCCGTGTCCTCGTCCGACCCATCGGCGCAGTGGTCCACCCCGTCGCAGGTGAGGTCTGCGCTCACGCAGAACTCGCGCTGCTTACACCGGAACTCCTTGCAGCCGTGCTCTGGAAGGAATACTAGGGCACATGAGATTTACATTTATCTGAATTTCACCTTACGATTAAAACTCTTGCTTCTCTAAGATTTAATATTAGATTTACGTTAACACACATACAATATTTAAGTTCTTATGATATTGTTGTAGCTAAATCTTTATTGACGTCTTCTATAGTAAAACCAAAGAAAAATGATTATAATTAAACCCAAAAATACATACATAAATATGTCAATCCTAATCTGTAAAAAATAATAAAATCTTATTCAATACACCGCGTCGCGTAGGGAAACTTTTGCTATCCAGTTTGCTGTCACTTTTCCGGTTTGTTTTTCCGAAGTTTGAAGAGCGAAATCCCGTCGTATGCAAAAACGAAAAGCGATGAAATTAGCGGGCATCGATGCATAAACGCGGGACAATGGACGCGACGCGATCCATCAAACCATTCACAAAACCCTCGAATCAATAAGTCATCAGACCGGAAGTTTGGCGACGGAAATTAAAAACTCCTCCGTTGTACTCTGGCCGAAGTTTATCCCTTTTTAAGGATAGATAATGGCGGAGTAAAAACAAGTTAACAAGGTACTTTGTGCTACAAAAATTACACGAAGATAGATTACTTCAGATTTGCGTAAATTTCTTTTATTTCTGAAGTTCCTAAGCCGAAATGTTATGGTTAAGTATACTTAGATCGTTACAGGTTTTTATTTCAAGATAACTTTATGTACATTACGTAGGTAGGCTACATACTAAATTAAAAAGCTATTTTGGCGCTAGTTTAGTTTGAACAAATGTAAGCAATAAAATTAGTGGACGTTAGTATCGCAGACTAAGGTTTGATGTCGATGTACTTGCTACTAGTCATTCATAATTTTGGTTGTACCTTTATAAAGAATAAAGTAGTAACTTTTTTGGTGCAATATTTAGTTCTTGAAATCTTCCAGAGGCCCTCTATCTATCTCCATGATTTCAGTTGTAGCCTTAGCATTAAGCAGATAAAATAACGCTGATAATAGGTACGTTTTCTGAACTATAGTCACATCAGTACATTCCGCCGCAACGTTTCTAGAAGATCCACTATCAACAAGACTGAAAAATATATAAAAACCTATTGTTGGGCCATCCACAGTGCGTTTGAATGACAAAAATTGTTTTATCTTCCACGCTCAGACGACGAATCTCAGTTTAAGCACACAAAACGGTTTATTAGTGCGGCTCCAGCCCCAGAGTCTCGCAGAACGGTCAAATAAAGCGGAATCTCCCCTAAATCTTTTGATCTCAGCACTTTTGGGGACGAGGGAACATGAGAAGAGACTAAATGAAGTCTGGCTTCTTTGTTAGGCGCACCGCACTTTAAACATTTAACGCGTATTACGCACTTCAAGGAATTAGACCAATTCTAGCGGCTCGCAATGTAACTTTAGCCACTGTCTGTAGTTCACGCGAGTAGTACACATTTAAATAAAACACTAACGGTTTAAAACGCGATATATTTTAGTTAAACTTGTCTCCGACAGTCACCCCGTGACCACGGCTACTGCAAAGCATCCGAAACGTCGGGCCGTAGTTAAAAATTATTTCCAAAAAAAGTTTAACTAAAATTTATCGCGTTTTAAACCGTTAAAGTGTTTTAATTAAAAGTTAACTCATATATTTTGTGTATATTTAAAAAAAGTTAAAAGTTACTCTTATAAGATCTTACGTTGTTATAACAACCTTTATTCATCCAAGAAAAAGAAGTATTACTAACAAGTTCCTTATAACGTAAATTAAACAACTTAAATAATATTTTAACATGAGTTTATATTAATAGTTAAGTACACGTATTTATTACCTAAACTGAATCACTTAAAGATTTTAAAATTTATCGTACACAATAAAATCACGACAAACGTTTTTTGTTAAATACTCGTCGACGTTTTGAACATGAAAAAGTACAAATTATCAACTTTAGTAGCAACGCTGTTTACCTTAGTGGGACTTCTGTTCCAATGTTAAAAAGAATTAAAAAAGGACCGTTACCAAAGCAGATAAGTTCGTAGTTGATTGCGGTCGGAGCTCATAGAAGCAGCCCGTAATGGAGCAAGTTACTTTAAGTTTCACATACACTCCATTACGGTGGCCCGTTGCGACTTACAACTGCGGAGAATGGCTCAACTTCACTCGTTAAAAATTCAAAATTTATTTCCACTCGGCTTTTGACCAAATTGTATGCAATGCGATACAATAGTTTACCACTCAGGAACGATACGAAGACGTATATTATAATGTCCAAAGTTAACAAACGCGTTTTATTATGTTGACCTACGAAATTCGAGATCTATATTTTATTTCGAATATGCCAACAAATACAGCGCGAATATATATTGTCCGTAATTTACGCGAGTAGTACACATTTAAATAAAACACTTAATGCTTTAAAAATGCTACAACGGCTACAGTACAGCTTCCAAAACGTCATTAATTACCGATTATATTTTCCGTTTTAATTTCTAAACTGTTAAATATATTCTATTTAAAAGCCACTAATCGTTGCCCTTTCTTAGTAAGATAAAGTGACATTAGAACTACCACTTGACTATTTTTATTCAATGTAATAATTAGATATTTTTAGTAATCAAATTTTATGTAAAAATGAGCTTACAAAGCGGTTATTTATTTTATTCAGCTAATAAATATTTAGATTGCGATAAGCATTTCGCAACGTTTTGTGTTTTTAATTAAAAAAAGCCCCACGTTACACCGGACCGTGACCGGTGACGTGAAACAGGGTACCTTCGGAGGGAGGAAAATTAAATTGATTTCGGCCGAATCATAACGGCTTCTGATATTCTAAGATTCCCGCTTTTTAATTTATGTTACTGATCTCCCACCATTTTCATTTCCATTCCATTACAAGAAATCTAATTGTGCTTTAAGCCAAAGTCGGGTAAAGCATATTGATTGACGGGACTCGAACCCTAAATCTCCTCAAAATTAATCGGGTGGAAACACTGAAATATTATTATATCTCAAAACGAAAGCTCCAAAGTTGAACAAAGCCAATATTATGGTTTTGTTGCTCGCGAGATTCCTAAGCCGCGCTGAAAGTTAGAAAATCCTCTCCCACTGTACTTTTCCATGCGGTCGACCGGAAAATCTAATTGATGTTATGCTCAAGGCGTATAAAGGGTGAAGAATCCGGTCAGGTATTCTAGAAAAACATCTCTTAGCCCGGATTGAATTCAATTAAATTAACAATGGCTGAGGTCGCTTATCTCGCCAAGAGAATCTCCGGATTCTATTCCGGTAATGTAATGTTCTTCATTTCAGCGGCTGTTTCAAATAAGTTGGTATTTTATCGCAAAACAGACGCCTTCTTAAAAATATCCAATTTGAAATAAATATTGCTTTGGTCGAAGCATTGAAACGAATCAAAGATACCAATCTCCAGGCCATAGAAACGGACAGATTTAGCCACTGAAACCTGAAAGTTCAGTATGAAAAAATATTATTATCATAAGCAAAGATAATGTTTATTTATTCTACTCCCAGTCAAAATCAATTCAAGACCTAAGTGCTTAATAACCTAAAAGGTGCGAATCTGTATTCACCCTTTAACATTCGCGAAACATATTCAAAATGGGGTAACTCAAGCTTACATTTTCGAGAAACATGCCGTACTTATTTCCCATTTTCACGTGTGGTGAGGCACGCATGCGCTCAACAATGCTTAATCGTTCTTTACACATGGGTTTTGTAAACCTATTTAGCAGCTTCTAAAAGAAGCCAATGCCTGCAATTAAACAGTGTGTCCGATCAAAATAAGTTAAGCCTTTTAATAGTTTTTATTAGACGAATAAAAACGTTTACGTGGATAGAAATGGTTTTGGGTATACTGACATATAAGTAGGGAACAGAAATGTTTTATTATATAAGCCTTTAAAAAACTCAATCTATACATTTACAAAGCAAAAGCGAGCAGTTTTTTGGCTAAGCGCCGGGTTAAGAGTTCTCGTATAATACAATAAGCACGAATTCCTGCACTTGAATACTAAGCGGCGAAAGAGCGAAGAATCTAATAGGAGTCGTAGCAGATAATATGGTGATGTCCATGCTATGTTCTAGTCGGCGTAGATGACCGCTCTTATTGCCAACCAAATCAATGTCTATGTCAGCATAAGGCTAATTATATGGAAGTCCAAATACATGGACTAAAAACACTGAGTGTACAACTTCAGAGGTCCATCCATGGTAGCGCATGAACGAAAGTTTGAATATTTTTGTCCACTATCGAATTATGTATCTTATAAATGAATAATAAAAGCCTTTACTAATTATCGCTGTAAAAAAAGAGGTTTTATTTCATTTGGAGAATAAACTCAGTCATAAGTTCAGATAGATCTTTTAGTTCACGATTGGGGATTGAACTCCAAACCTAGAGTCGAGAACAAATTTCAGTTGACACCAACACGATTCTAAGTACAAAACTGACTACTAAATTAAAAGTAAACTAAAGTCACAAACTGCCTGTCACTGTCTTTTATGAGCTTTCTTCCAGCTTCTCAAGCACCGACCTCATTGCCGTGGTCGAAAGAGGACGGTACCTCCCTTGGGGCACCTTTGATATATCCGCAAATACGTCCGTTTATTATTGGAGGCCCCGGACCAACATACGTACATCTACATACACACTAACTTTGTCAGCAACTTCGTCCGCGTAGAAAAGTAATTTTGGGCATCCAAATTTGTTTTTGCAAACCTCTACATTATTAAAAATGTAAGCTGCCTACGACATCGGTCGCGTCCCGTCGTCTGTAAGTTAATCTTAAAAGATAGTAGACATAATGTCGAGGTCATTTTTTTATTTTAAAGAGGAATTAAACAAATTTTTGTGTGTCTTGAACCGTTTCACAGCGTACGCATCTGAAACCCACAGAGATTAAAAAAATCCCCCATTTTGTTTACATTTCCTGCCGTATCTTCGCTTCTATTAGTCACAGCGCGATGTTTTATAGCCTTCTTTGATTAATGTTCTAACTAACACAAAAATAATAATTCAATTCGAACCGGTAGTTCCTGAGATTAGTGCGTTCAGACAAACAAATTCTTCAGCTTTATATATTAGATATTACAAAAAAAATGTTTTCCATCGTATCTTCCTTATAAAATATTTAAGTATAAGATATAGATATCAATTCAATATAAGCTTTAGCTGTAGAGCTTTTATTCACGCCAAAGGAATATAATGAGAAGGTAAAATGAATACTTATAATTCTCAATTCGGGCGCCTGGAATTTAATTTCAATGTAAGGAATTATCTTGTGTGTTAGATAATATAATTGATACATACCCGCAAATAAAACGATTTTTCCTAGTTGGAGATTGGTGACAAGACGCGCTGTCCACCGACGTGCGCTTTGCACATTCGGAATTTACTAAAACCGAGACGGTGATTTGGGACCCGGACGGAATTTCTATATTCCTACCACCTATTTAATGTCCAGATTTCCAGACAAAGTCCGACATGTTTTAGAAAAATTATAACTTGCAACACGCTGGATCCGGTAGGGATCGAACCCACGGCCCGTGGATTTTTAGCATGTATGGCTAAAAACCTCTACACCAACGAGCCGTCGAAATTGTTATATTATTTATCGTGTTTTTGGTATTGCAGCCGTTGTCAATTTTAAAAATAAACGAAATACATTGCGAAATAATAATCTTATCGAAATGCATATCAATATAATCTCACGCAATAAATTGCATTCAAACTACGGTTAGACAGATTACGGTGATAAATATAATATTTTAATCTATTCGGATTAATTTTCGTATTTACGGTCTCATTGTTAACTTAGATTAGATTACACATTTCATCACTAACTTTCTGTTTATATGTAGTTCAAATAAAACACTTTAACGATTTAAAACGCGATATATATTAGTTAAACTTATTTTAACTAGGACGAGGAGACCCGAGAGCGCGGCTGTTGCGTGGTCTGATATATCGCGTTTAAAACCGTTGAAGTGTTTTATTTAAATGTGTACTCGGGTAAGCTACAGACAGTATATAACGTGGTAAGTAATAAGTGAGACGGATCACGAACCATAATGCAACCCGATCTTTTTAAACACGGTTAATGTTAGCTTAGATCTAACCAAGTCTGGGCCCTAGGCCTCCAATGACTCACTTGGGTCCTTGACGGCAGTGATGACCAGCTTGAACCCGTTGGCATCGGTGCCCCAGTTGTCCGTCACGTATTTGAGAGTGACAAAGTTGCTGCGCGTGAACAACGCGCCGACCTGTTGCTTCGTGTTGCGGCATGACAGGTCCGCCTGAAAGTGACGCATTACAATAGATTATTAAAGCTCTCTAGCTAAATGGTTAAACGGCCTAGCATTGCCTTAAGCGCGAGACGTCCTGGGTTCGAATCCTGGGAAAACGAGAGATTGTTTCAGTCGGGCGGAACAAAAAATTGTCCCGTGACCTATTGGGTGCAAAGTACACTTTAGGGATAAAGAGAGACAAGCAGATATTTTTGGTCCTTTATACGGACATTGAGGTGCCGAGGATTGATGTCTGATGAAAAAAAAACGAAAAATTTTAGAAGCCCAGGTTAGCAAAACGGTATAAGGCGCTGGACATACTGCTAGTTTAATTGTTATTAATTATAAGGACGACAACACAAATAGACCAAGACTACTAACAACGGTGTTTTAATAATTTTGACTGTAATTTGACTCTTCTTAAACGAATTATACAGTTCGTAATCTTCTGTGTTCGTGCAATAATGGATAATAAGTCATACATTAGATTGGTTTCAAGAATAAAACCGTTTGAAAATTATCTCGTCTTTATTACACTTCATAAAACTCAAGGTTCCGCAGCTCGCCAGTATGCCTCCATCGATTGGGGCTTAGTGAGCGATGGCCGCATTATATCGCCGTCATATTTCAGGGAGAGTTATCGGGAAGACGTGACCAACCCGGATTTGCCCCCACGCCCCCCCTCGTCCTTGTTTAATGCACCAGAAGAGCCACTTGCATCGACATTTTGCATTAGAGCGTCGTACCTACACCGTTAAAATTATACTTTTGTAGTCCATAAAAGAACACTTTGACTACTTAACTAAAACAATTTAACGGTTTAGTACGGTCGGGCCGTAGTGAAATAAATCTCCAAATTAGTTTAAGTAATATCATATCGTGTTTTAAACCGTTAAAGTGATTAATTTAAGTATGTACTACTCGGGTAACCGCGGACAGTACTTTGACTACTTTCAAAGAACAAAGATCATTACAGCCGGTCACATAAGTAGTTTTAGATTTATTCCACTTTGGACACATCGTTAACTGTTACAAGATGTAGGAAGAAGCAAGGCAATATTTATATATATCTGTCTATGCTAAGTCATATATTTATCTGTGTTTATTTGTATGTATTGTTAATTTTAAGTACGTCATAATTATTCATATCTTCCCTGATTTTATATGTAAAAAGGAATTGCTTTTTATGCATCTTGTATTTTCAACAACGGTATAAGAAAATAGGCGACACAATTGAAGGAAGAGTCTACTGACATTACGAAGTATATCCATCGCAGACAGCAAGGTATATTAAAATTCTCCGAGTGGGTTTTTCTCTTCGTTGGAATGCCGGGGTCCTTAATATTTCACGCCATGGTGGGAGTGAGCTCCATCATCCGATAATGAAAGCCCTATTCTTATTGGAATTTAAACGACCTCTTACATTTTATTACTGCATTTATCTAAGATGAAAACGTTTAAGGCACTTGAGGTAAAAAAAATATTCTTAAAACAAAGAGACGAAAGGTAGGGTTATAATTTTGACTATTGTATGTATGACGCAAATTTGCTATTTAAAATACTTTACCAATTTTACTGAAAGAGGCGACAAAATTAATTTTAAGCTTGAAAAATTAACTATGAAATCTAAGGGATAGTTATCGTAATTTAATTCATTTCTATGTATTGACTGTTAATTTAATTAAACGAAACAAAGATTGGTACATATAGCATTATACATGTAAATAAAGATAACAAACATTATTTAAAGATAAAATAAAATCAAGCAGATTTCCGCCTACTTCGCAATAATTTTACATTGTATGTTTACGCAAGTAAAGACAATTATTTAAATACAACCGGTTTAAAACGTGAATATTCTAAATATTTACTTAACTAATATGTTTCGCGTTTTAAACCGCTTAGTTTTTTATTAAAATAATTTCATACTTAATTGACTTAAAACCTTCGCGCATTCAAGTGAAAACCGGAAAAACCACTGTACTATACCGCAGTGGTGCGCCGCGTCTACGGTCAATTTGAAAGTTCGTGTCTCGCAGTCTTATAAGTTTCATGATGTAAAGCGAGCGCCGTCTGAATCTCAAGTGGATGCCGTTTACTTAATCCACGTCCGCGACTCTCGATAGAGCTGTTGAAATGTTTTGTGATATTTTCATTTCCCCTTCAAAATTAAACGCTTCTAGTCACGGCATTGCTCGAATATAATAATGAGGCTAAGGGAAGAGAGTGGAGTCTGTAGCATTATTCGGGCCTTCTTTTTGGCGGACTTACAATCCTAGTGAATTTTTATTTTGAAAGCAATCAATGAGGACTATGGGTGCAAGCCCCCTATATTAGGCAGAGTAAAATAATACGCAGTTTCAGCATAGACATTGTAAAATGATTAATGGGTTGAGAACCTAAAGAAAAAACAGTTACTTAAATAAAATAATACATTACATATAAAAGGATAACATATAAGATTGGAATACGTTAGACAGGAATTTTCTTACGATATAACATAAATAAGTACATCGCGCAATATTTAAATTATTAGTCTTCTAATTAAAACGACCACGGATTCAGCGGGTATAAATAAAAAAAATATTTAAATATAAGCGTGCTCTAATTAAAACGACCATGGTCTATCTCGCCTAAATTAGGAAACACTTGGAGCGGTCCTCTGTGTTAAACGTGGTCACCGCTGACAGAGTTGTGAATTCCTAGCTCTTTTTCCTTCAAGTCGCTACGACGATCTTGCATCTTGTTCTACAAGACGACCCTGAACGTTCGACGATAGAATCTCTGGCTCGCGATTGGGACGCGTACACTCTAATACTTTCCAGACGATCATTTTAGGAAGAAGACTCTCCAATACGACGAACTTTTGCTAATCTCGTTTGGAAACTATTCTTAGATAGCTGCGACCTTCTTCTTCTAGGCATATTGCTATGAAGGATATTTATTTTAAGTCAGAGAAATTAAGAATAAACTAATAATAATACAAAAGAAAATATTCAAGGTCAAAGCGATAATTCTGAAAAGAACTTTGACAAATATTATGCAAAGTGTGATTCCTAATACTAAACAAAGTAGCTTTGAAAAGCTTAGTGAAGCATAAAAATTTTAAAAATAATCGAAAATTTAACGTCGTTCGCGCCCACTGCCTAAGCAGCCCACTGGCCCTCTATCGTCGAATAAATTAATTCATGATATCTTTTGAATGGCATGTCCGATTTCAATATTTAAAAAAGTAATCGTTAGCTATTGATTTATAAACGGTATAGATAACACGGTCTGATTTTGATCGGCATTTCTATTAATTTGTTAAATGTAAAAAAGTAGTTATAGCGACGTAACTACAATAGTTAGACATATGGTTTCGTGATGTTTTTTGTAGATATAGATATATTCTATAATATTGTCGAACATTTTTTTGTCCTTATCATTAATACTTTTCGCAGCGTATGCGAAGAAAGACATTTTAGGGCTAATTTTTTTGGTTTTAGTAAGAATTTCTATAGATGCTTATAGTAATCAAGTACTAAATATAGCCTATTTTACTCAGTGATAATGTAGCTTTCTAATGAAGAAAGAATTATTAAAATCGGTCCAGTACTTTTTGAGTTTATCCGTTCCACACAAAAATACAAATTTCTTCTCTGTACCAGCAATACCAAGGAAGCTTTCATTTATACAGTCCTACTTTTATACTTATGACTAAGTTTTGACCGCCTCTGCAGCTTAATGGGTTCAAGTTCCGGCAAACAATAAATTGTTTCGGGCAGGCTCAATGTCAGTCTGATCAACCACTTGTTTGTATATAAAACCGATCACTGAAACGGACACAGAAATGTATTTACCCCATGCCCCACGGGGAAGACCAGGGCTTTCGTGTAACATAGCTGTAGATCGCCTTATCAGCCAGGGAATCAAGTTTCCCTTTCATAACACAAACGAAATATCCGCGGAGCCCGAAAGTCTGAAATAGTTATGACGAGAATGCGAACCGCAAGCTTACTCGGATCACGGGCGTGCGGTGGGGACATAGTTGTTAGTTGCACAGGTGCCAGGTGGTCATACAACTTTCCCCTTTGTCTTTGGATCGGTTTCTGTTCTCAGTTTCGCACGCCTGCGGTCTCTTTGATCTATTAAACTTTCTTGTTTATTCTGAACAATCCTAACTGCTTCGCGGAACGTTGATCAACAATTCCTAGGATATGTGGGATATATGGCTTATTGGAGTAGAAAACTCCCATCTTGTGTACTCTTTTATTTAAATTTATGAAAAATCTTTTCAAGATGTGAATCATCAGATAAGTAAAGTTACCTAGTTACGATGTGGAAGTGAAACATAAGTTAAAATCAATTCTAAAGCCAACATATGAGTATGATTATATCTTTATCGATTTATAAATTATAGTAAGTATTTTGTTAAGTTTCTTAGGTTTTCTAGATGTTCGGAAAACTTCGCTTAGACGAGGAACTCTCACCAGAACGTGATTATGCCATCCACGTGTTACTTCGAATGTGTGATCTTACGTCGAAAACCATTTTAATTACGCTAAAGAAGAAGAAAATTTTAATTTTACCGGGAGTCACACTTTATACGTCAATAACAAAGACTCTCGGTCTAAGAGGACAATTGTAAAACTGAAGTTAGCCAAAACGGCTGCGCAAACCAGATAGCGAGACGCCATTTACAATTACCAATTCGGGCGTCTTACGAACGGAAAATTCTCGAACAAACTCGGTTACATTTCCTCTGTCAAATTTACATATCGCAAAGCGAACGAACCGCAATTCGCCCGTGTAATTGGTGCGATTAAGAAGACTTTCCGTAATTCCAGTTAAATTCGCAGTTGCCTAATGAGGCTGGATTATTAAAATGTCCTTGATTACGGCGTGTAGCGGACTGTGAACGGAGAAATGTATTTTTTGCACAGAGTATACGTATAGTTTCATATGATCTTTGCAAGATACAGGTGCGTGAAATTATTATGTCAATTTTACGATACAGGAAAACAGACAAGGGTTTTCTCGATGGAAGGAACAGCAGCCACATAACATCAATTTTGGCTTTGAGAATCCGGAAGTCAACGGACTGAAATCAAAACTCAGATTTACACTTAACGAATTTTCTATTAGTTCGTTGGTGACGGTTCGACATCCGGGCGGAATTTCACTATACTTACCACCTATTCAAGTCTAATTTACGACAAAACAAATTTGCCCTGTGGGAATCGACCTTACGTCGCCTGGTAAACCTGTTACAAATATGAAGTGAGACAAGTAACTAATTTCCTACAACTAACCGATAATAAAATGTTGAAGCGATTTCATTATGCTATAAGACGGAGTCGCAACAATTGCTAAATAATTCACAGCCGCGTAAAAAACGTTTCCATTTAAAAAGGCTCTCAAATGATGATGAAAAACGTCCCATTAGAGCCGCAATTTGCTTCCCCGAACGGCGGACGCTGTCGCATAAAGAATTCAAATTCGTACTTAAAACTTCCGACAAATCGCTGACAAGCGGTTGAATAGAAAATTAAAGAGGATTTCACGCACACATGCACAGAGGCGCTCGCACACGTACCGCTGACCGATTTTACGTCTCACTTACGCAGAGCGAAACGAACATTCTCCAACGCCTCTTCAAAAGTACTATATGAATGTTTAATACAATGCTAAATGTGCTACGAATAACAAAAATACAAATATGTTAATAACCAGCCGACGATTGCCCAAAAGTTACGGACGCCCCTCTTTTCGCAAACTTGTAAAGGCCAAAGAACAAGAGTGGAAAGAATAAGTTATCCCTAAGTATTCCCAGTGGGAATGTTAATGAACGTCACCGGACGGCAGGTGTCTCGCAAACTAAATAATTAACAAGCCGGGGGCGACTTCGCCAATTTTAAATTCAAATCCGAGAGCCAAACAATGGCCGAAGAATCCCAAGTATTGTCGGGACGCGGATCGCGCTGTCTCCGCTCTGTTTACTTTTCGTTATCCTGAATATACACAATTACAATCGCCCGTGTTACATCAAACGTGGACCCTTTTCAAAGGGAAGAAAAGTCGCGGTGGACAGGTATGTTTAGGGGCCACGGATATTTGTTGACAGCGATATAAAACTATCATAGCTATGTAAAGATCCTTATGCAGACGAAGCCGCAGTCGAAACCTAGTCCCCACTAAAGACCTCTCCTCTTTGGTATCCGATTAAACTGAAAGCCGTATCAATTAAAGGACAATAGGTCTATTGAACGGAGATCTATTCTCATTAGCATCAGGAATCCTTAATTTAGGGAAAGGAGAATAATCCGCGTCCCGGAGTAATTGCTCCCGCCTTGGAATGCCTCCAACTTGAATATGATATCGGTAAAACTGATATGTGAAGGGAGTAGACGTTATTGAACATAGAGATTCCATTCAATTTCTAGAGCCATTTTCCTTTAATTAAATTATTGGTAACTAGTTGAAAATCCCCTATTGCCCCTTAAAATATTGTAAAAGAAATTAGGGAAATAACCTTCGGTGGTGCTGTGGCGTGAGCGCCGTCATACACGTAGAGGTGATCGTTACAGTCGAGCTGCAGCAGATCGAAGTGCAGCATGAACCGCTGCAGGATGCTGTGCGTCTGAAAGGTGACCGTGCAGTCCAGGTTCCTCTCGTTGCGGGACCAAAGGACTCCGCCGTCCAGCTTACGGTACTGTCGCTGCAGGAAGTGGTCCTTGCATAGCGAGTCCATGTAATCTGTGGACAATGGAAGAACGTCATTATTCGCGCATTATTAGTATAGATATTTAATAATAATTGATTGATAAATGGCCCTTTGAGAATATCCCAAGATCGTCCCATATGGAAATACTTCTGTTCTCAAAGTTAAAATTGAAATAATATCCTCGAATAAAAGGGACCCATCATTTCCGAATGGAACTGAAGGTGAACCGAGTTTTGAATAATGGGGAGCGAGTCGGATCTCAATAAGGTGGAGTCAATAAGTTTTATTTGATTCTCGTGTTACTTCGAGGGACATTTCTCAGAGTCGACATAAAGAATGAGCAATTTCCTCCCGAACCTTACATTTACCAGCATCGAATATATCAAAGTTAAAATTTGCTAACCTTTTCGCTTTAGGGAAATATTCGGGTCAAGCGATACAGGTCTAGCGAGCGAATGTAGATTATTACAAATTTTATAAAAATAAACACGCGTACACATTTGTATAAAAAACACTTTTGATTTGTTTTCTTGGATATTCAATTGAATTTGTCAAACATACCTACTCTAAAATATACCTAACCGTTGTTTCAATCAGCATGAACCTCGGGATAAAAATCAAAAGTTAACAAATATATTTCGCGTTGTACATCGTTAAACGCGTTTTATATAAAAATAAAGTCATCCAATTACCTCTAAAATAAGTGGTAAATAACACAGTTACGTTTTTCTAAAGTACAGTCTTAAATATTATAAAGTAAACGCCGTTTTTTCTGTTCATACCTTTATTTTAATATCAATGAATATTAACAGCGATTGGATAAAAACTATATAACCACTTAAAAACTCATTTCTACATCGCTACAAAATTCTTTTTGATTATCTTGTGGGCATTAGTGGTACAGACTTTATCAGTTATCAATATATCTTATCAATTTCTCTCTCATATTTTATCGGCCTTTCTCGATACGCATTAAGGAATGTCGTGACCGATATATTGCCATTTAGGGCAGTTACACACGAACTTATACTTAGACGGAAGATTAGATAGCTTTGACCATATACGCTTTTTATCTATTTAGATTTTAAATAAAAAGACAATAAAAAGATACACTTATTTATACACAATTGTATAAATAAGACGATAATAACATAGCATGTATGTAGCAAGCAATCTTAACTGGTTTTTCATCTTAATCTCCTGTATCCTTACTAAGTTAATCATTCACGGTTTTTAATAAATGCATAGCATATTAAGGAAATACAACTAGTGAAAAAGCGAGCGTTAATAATTATAAACTGCGAGTGTACACTCAGCCTAACGAAGCACGAACATCTTTTGAGAGGTGATAAAATGTATAAAAAAATTAGATCTTCTTACGTTTTAGATTAGTGTACTTGTGTTTGGAATTTTTGCCAAAACGAGGCAGCCATGTAAGTAAATTTTGTAGTTAAGAAAGAAATAAGTCTAAATTGCAGACAGACGATGAAGTAAAAGTAAAAATATGTATGTTAATACTGTTTACATACAAAAAAACACGTTTGATTTAATTGAAAATGACATTTATGATTTATTTATTTAATGCATAGTTTCATTGTTATTTACAAAAAGTGAAATCTTGTATTCCCCTTGTGGGACACGAGTCACGTGTCTATTTGTTTCACTTATCAGTTTTTTATAGGCAAGAAGTGAATTAGACTTCGGACTTCTGATGATTGACATTCATTTTCAGGAGTGGCTGTAACGTAATGCGGCCCTTTCTTATCATTATGCTCTTACATGGTATAACAACAGCTCCGGTTGTGCCAACTCTGTTTGAGACCCCCATATTCACCTTATCAAGTGAAACCAGGGGCTTGGAAGTACCGCTGGATGTTATAGCCGGTGCGGGGGTCGGCATGAGCTCAGTACAACTCGTGGTGAACGTTCATACTGATAAATTGGGAAATATTGAAGTCGAAACTAATTAGATTTAAAAGTAAATAAAATACAAGGACATATTAGGAAACAAGATCAAACATTACATTACAAACGTTTTTAAAAAGCATAATGAATGAAAACATGCGTATGGAAAAAAAAAATAATTGTACGTCATCAAGAAGGATAATAAAAGTAAGAAAACAGCAAAGGCAGAAGAGACAGAGAAAACTCGATAAAAGTGAAATAAAATCAGAACAATAATCATATTAAAATGAAACACGACCGACGGAGGATAAGCAGATGTTATTTGCGTACTTTAATATAATTCAAAATATTGTAATAGATTGTTATCTATTTTCATAAAAACCTACTGCTTAGAATGGTATAAAAGTTGAATTTCGCAACAGACTCCAGCTCGCCTGATACATTGGTTATCTTTGTAATGGAGCAAAAATGTACTCGTTAACCGCCAGATGATAAAGCATGACACTTTTGGAACTACTCCAAGCCAGGACACGAAAGTAATCGAAGATTTTATAGCGAAATAACTTGAATCAAGTTTTACGGCCAACAATGCGAAAAGCATATCTTGATTTTATTTAAAGCGTCTTTCTAAAAGAAACGGTAAGTCAACGACTATAAGGACCAATTTTATGACATCCAGTCTCTTGCAAATTTTACTGAAATCATTAGACCTCGTTTGCGTACAGCAATTTAATTGCTTGTTCTTACGTGGATTTATCTGCAATATTATCAATTTAAAGATGAAATATTTATTCAAACCAGTGTTGCATTAAGAATTTATAAGATTATACAGACTGCTAAGAAAAAATTTCTTATCATGTCACAACACGTTTTGCCGAACAAAAATGTGTGTGTAGACGTTTAACTTACATAAATTGTAAATACGATAACGAATAGCCAATCATTCGAATATGATTGTAATTTATTCCAAATTATAATTATCAACAGTACAATGAATTAAAGAAGCTTCCATCAAACTTAACGTAACATTTATTGTGATTGTAAGGGGATGATAGATATTAAGTTATAATTAGCTTTAAAACTCATCGCTAAGTACTGTTAAGATCTTCACATATTTTTATTAAATAAGATTTTCACTAATTTAAGCATTTTTATTTTGCAACACCTACAAATAGATTAATCTGAAATGAAAAAGGTAATTTGAAGTCTACTTTATTTTTTTAATAAAGAATCAAAGAGTTATGAATTGTGACAACCCTAGTTACTTTTCGTGCGCAGAAAGCTATCAGACGGAGAGCAATGTTTACCCACCATTACGTGTATTTTCGTTACGTCGCGGATGTGTTATTGTTTCATTCACTACACCCCTCACAAAGACATTCATTTGCATTCCGCTGTGGCCGCTTTTACCGCCCTCGAAACACATCGTTAATTGCACAACGCTAACTTATTTATATTTTTAAATTAGTACAAACAGTTGTTCGATTCTTGTGTTACTAGGTTGAGAACGATTTCTGCACACTTCGTAAAAGGATAAGGTTTGAAGAAGGCTATCGAACAAGTAATTCCTCTTGATATACCCATTCCAAGTGATATAATCATTGTAGCTAAACTTCAGAACGGACTCAAAAATGTATAAGATTTTTACTGACTTCCAAGTTAAATTATTTTATTTGTAAATAAAATAAGGAAATTATATATAAAATTCCTGTGTCAGTTTTCGTTGCCATACTCCTCCGAAACGGCTTGACCGATTTTGATTAAATTTTTTGTGCTTATCCGGTATCTATGAGAATCGGCCAACATCTATTTTTCACTTTCCCTAAATGTAAGGGGTAGTCCACCCCTAATGTTTATTTTTTAGACAAAATTTTTAATTTTAATTTTTATGATACAAAAATACATACAATCCTCCATTTTCACCCTTCTATGATCAACTCCTTTTTTTAGTAATCTATTTTTTGTCTACACTAAAAATTACTAGGAAATTATTTATATGGCAAAACAACGTTTGCTGGGTCAGCTAGTAATATATGCTGTCTATAGTTTACGCGAGTAGTACACATTTAAATAAAACACTTTAACGGTTTAAAACGCGATGTATTAGTTAAACTTATGCAGCAGCCGTGGTCACGGGGAGACGGCTGCTGCAAAGCATCCGAAACGTCGGGCTGAAGTTAAAAATCATTTCCAAATAAGTTTAACTAATATATCGCGTTTTAAACCGTTAAAGTGTTTTATTTATATATGTTTGTTCCTTTTTAACAACTAATATACAGTTCAACAGGCACGTCAATGGTGAGGACATTTTACTACAATTTGAAAATGTTTTAATTACGTAGAATTCTTTCTTCAAAATCTATCTGATACACAACATAGAAACTTTTAGCTATATTGTGCAAGGCTGTTAGTTATTAATAAGAATTTAAAGACATCTTACCGGCGGAAAATACCAGGAAATGAGGAACGCGTCGAAGCCGTGGAGGGTCAGCAGGCCCACGCTTTACTCCCCCATTGCTAACGAAACAATCCTTTACATTTAAGGCCCTATTCTAATTTATCTAAAAGTAGGCGGATGTCATCTCTTCGTAATATCGTGTAGACATTTTATCAGCCGCCAAGTCGAATAAACAAAAATCGGAAAATGAGAAAATGTATAAATAGATCAGAAATTGAATTACTGATTCAACCTAATGGAAATAGAACTCACCCATTGCTCTTTAGCGGTACAATGCTAAAATGCCATTAACGTATCTGTAGACATTAAAGAAAGAGAAACTGTCAAGGTAGGTACAAATTATTATGTATATTGTAAACTACTGGTTTACATACAATTTTATTTTAGAACAAATACTTTTAAACTAGCATATTAACTGTGCTTAGCAACGCAGTGATACGTTTACAACTAAGAAAAATTTTAATAAAATATTTTAAATGGTTCTATAACGCAAAATATATTAATTTTATTTTTTAACAACGGCCCGATGTTTTTCGAACGATTTGCAGTAGTGGTTGACGTTTTAAAATAATTTGTGTAAACCAAAGAAAATACTTAACTAACAAACAATCCAATTAAAATTAAAAATAACATATTATAAAAGGCAATGTTGTTTTCCTTAACGTGTCAGCAAGCGTCGGGCATTACTGACATCAATTTTTCATTTCATTTGTCTGAGCTCGTTTCACGATCCAACGGAATCGTTTGACCCATAATAAAGTATTAACTTTTTATTACATCTTCTGCTTTGTCAATTTTCCTCTTTCGACGCTCAGCGCCTAGTTTAAACACTGAAACACACTTGTATATTTTAGTTTTAAATCGTGAACCTTACAAATATTTAGAGACGAGTTTCGCGTTTAACACCACAGATAATGTTTTATTAACATCTTGTTATTATTATTCTCCTCTATCATAAATAAGAAGAGAAAAGCATAGGGTCACTTGATTTGTCGATGGATTCGGCTTTGGATAGTAGGAAAAACGCGATTAAAATATCCAGTCTAACAATAAATTGACCCGGTGAGAACCAAACCCACGAACATTGTTAACGTTAGAGTTGGACCAACAAGCCTGACTAATTTATTTGTTAATAGTTGCTTAAACTAGAAAGTTGTATAGTTTTTTTTTTAGAAAGAGTCTTTTACAAAGCCATGTGAAGTCCACCATTTCTATAACTTGACAAAGACTTTTTAAAGTTATTGGTTAGTTGGTGTTGTGTAGAAATGCCATCAAATCCACCAATTTATATATCCATAGATCCATCTTTCTGTATGAGGTAATGTTTTTCTTCCGTGATCACTGATCGCATATACCGTAACACAAATCGACCCGAACCGAATCAAAGAAAACAGCAAAACAATTCCATCGCAGTAATAACGTAAGCGGTCGAAGGCATTAAGGTCCATAATTGCTTTCACGTTCCTGAGCTATCTCAACGCGGTGGGTGCGACTAGGCACACGGCCTCCACGGTAATTACAGCCTTAATAGCTTACGATAACCTAATAGTCTAGGGGTGTCCGACTGAACCTGTTTTAATTAATTTTTGACGAAGGGTGTGCAAGGGTGTCTCTTAATACATCGTGTAATTTGTGTAGCTTTACGCACAATTTAAGAAAATAACTAAAATTTAACTGGTTTTTAAGGGATGGATGGGTCTAGCAAGGCGAAGCAAGAATACACCTAGTCAAGTGTCGAATAAGGAAGAGTTGGTGCATATGCATTTCTACTACTTATTAAACAAGTAACACATAAAATTAAAGTTAGAAACATCGAACTAATTCATTATAATAAATGTCCCCAGTACAATATAATACAAATATTACCACTAAACCACCTCGATCCCATATAAAAATGATCAGATTACATTATTTCCTCAAGAGCTACCCTCTCCCGCCCCCATCTGAGATGTACGCAGAGGGGGGTATCGACCGCTACGCCGCCAGGTCGTTCACCCCGCCGTAGACGTAGCGTAGCCTCGTAGCGCTACGCCGTAGGCCGTAACCGAAACTTATGTCTTGATTATCCACGATACGCTCTACGGCCTACTCGAATTTATTGCTTTTCATATTTTCTGATTTCTATAAATACATATTACGTCACGATAATCAAATAAGTGTCATTATCTATAATTAAAAATCAGTGTTTTTTTTTTATAACAGAGTAGGACGGATAAGCAAGGGTTGGTGGTGGGTGAATTACGCCAGCCATATAACACCGAAACAAAGTGTCTTGTCAACCTATTTTGGCTTTGATATTCAGAAATCCACTCACTGAAACCGAAAGGCGATTAAAGTTGACGGCTTTATCACCTGTGGGCAGTGGTTCGTGACCCTGATGGAATTACAATATTCCTACCACGCTCTTAAATTTAAGACGATCCCAGACGTGGAACCGAACCCACGACCCGTTGATTATTAGACATACATTATACCAATGAAATGTTATTTCTATGATGGTTTAATTTTTTTAAATTTTTAACATGTTATTGCATATGAAGGCACTATATAATTTAAAAATCGAAAATATATTAATCAACAGCACGGAACGCTGACGATGCCGGTTCAGGTCCTGCCCGAGTCGAAAATTTTTTCAAATTATTTTCGATTTTTAAATTTTAACGGCTTACAACGCGATATATATTAGTTATACTTGTTAGAAAAGCCATGGTCACGATTGCTGCAAACCTTCGAAACATCGGACCGGAGTAAAAACATTCTGGAAATATTTCGGAGATAAAATGATTCAAAAAAGTTTAACTAGTATATATCGTGCTTTAAACCGTTAAAGTGTTTTATTTAATGTACACTGCTCGCGTAAACTACAGACGGTATTTACTATGATGATGTTAAAAATAATGCAATACAGAAATAACTGTGAATTTCTGTATGGCATTATTAATTTATAAATAGAAAATAAATTGGTAAAAAATTTTCGACTCGGCAGGATTTGAGCCAGCGTCGTGAGCGTTCCGTGCTGTTGCTCTGAAGATGCCGAAACGCTGACGATGATGAAAAAATATTAAAGATTTCAAGCATTATTAATTTCACTAAGATACTGCGTTACATTTCGCTGATCTGAGCCTGGATTTCTTGTTCTTCGTTTACAAGTGGGCCATGGAGATAGAAGTCATAAGTAAGAGAAGTATATACAAAATTAGTAGTCTTTCCTTTTTCTGGACCGAGAGTACCGCAGCTTCTGGTCTTTCATAATCCCCACGTGATGTAGGTTGACCTCTGACGTCATACATAATAAAGGGTCTGTGGAAGTGGTAATTACAGGTACCCGTCCTTTTGGCATATTGAATTAGCTGATAAAAGCCCTCTGTTTTGGCTATGATTAAATTATGAGGATGACGTGTTAAACACGACGAAATGTAGCTTAAATACAAAACGTTAGGTATTTAGTATTTGGGCGAACACCACTATTGATTACCATTAATATACCTAAATGGAATTCGCATAAATGTATTTATTAGATTTACACGACTGAGAGTAACTAACTTTTTTCAAGTATTGTCTGTGGTATTGTATTTAACATTTTAATCGGTTTTATAAAGCGAAAGCGAAATTTTTAAGTTAACATATTTTTAAATAATCCCCTGCGTCCACAGCTACTGCAGAAAATCCAAATAATTTAAACTAAAAATGTTTTATTTCATCTTACTCAAAGAAGTAAAAAACGCTTATAAATAATTTTGTCAAATTTTTGTTTTCCCCATGGGCCACGATCTCACAACAATAATATTATATGTAAATAGCTGTCTTGCTAATTGCGTTAGTGTTTTATTGGCGTAATGATATTTAGGTGTTTGTCTGCTGAAATGTTACCAAAATTCCAACTAAAAATGTAGAAGCAGCCACAGAGGTGGCAAACATTTACTAAAATTTCATAAATATGCTGTGGAGCTTTTGAGCTTAGATGCCAAGCTTCTGCCGGCATCGTAGAATGCTTTGTGCTTCACTTTTGTAGTTTCCACATTAACGGTAAACATCTGATCGAAATAATCTCAGAAATTCGCTATACATTGTGTATGTGTGTGTAACGCTTAGAATTTAGATGCTCATAAATAACTGTATTTCGATGATGCAATTCAGTTCCTACTAATATTTAAGATAAGATAATAAAGCTTTGATCTTGGTTACTATTGTCTTAAGTTAGAATAATTAAAGAATAAATTAACATTTAGATAGATACTAAGTTTTCTTTGGATTATACATTATATAGTTAAATTACATAGTATTTACAAATGTAGTTTTTGGCACTACATCACAGTAGAAATCACTATTTATAATGAAATATCGCAACCAAAAATATAAAAACTGCTTCATTCCATTTTCTCCATTATCAGAAACCCCGAAATTACTCTTGCGATATCAGAAGATGGCCAGGGACGAAAAAGGGTGTCTTTCCACGAAAAAGCGTTCCGTCCCGAAAATTAGCCGCGCTAGGCCCGGGCGAAATTGATTTACGTTGTATTTTTTCGAAAACATTAATCACGGTACAGTTAATTAATCACGGAGGGCTGTCGATAGCAAGGCTGACCTCAATCGACCCTTCGTTTACAAAGAAATTAGGATTTTGCTCGGCCTAGGGGGGAGCTGCTGTTATTTCTCTATGATATTATACCTCGGGGGACAAATGGACATTGGCGAGAAAGGGCTTCAATTTGCTCCGCAACATCTTTAAGTTTAATCTTGTGAATTATTTGTTGCTTAACAAACTTATCATCAATAGCCAATATATGATATATACTAGATGTGCCCGCGATTTCGTCCGCGTAGAATAATTATTTAGGGCATCAAAATTTGTTTTTTCAAACCTGTGTTACTCACGACGTTCACGTGACGTCATTCTCACGAGTTAATCTTAAAAAACAGACATTACATTACTTAAAAAACAGACATTAGACAAACAGACTCTTAAATGATCTAAAACAATATCGCGGACATTGTTTTAGATCATTTAAGAGGAATGAAATCGCTCGCTAATATTTTTTTGGTATCTTGAACCCTTTTCGCAGCACACGCAACGCAATCCTGTAAAAATAATTTTACCCTTGTTTTTCACATTTGCCACTGTTTTTAAGACAAAATTCTTTTCCAATTCGAACCAATAGTTCCAGAAAGCAGAGCGTTCGAACAAACAAATAAAACCTTCTTTATAATTTTAGTATAGTTAATAGACATAGAATAGAAACGGAAAAATTACAGTGAATAACTGACAATGACTCATTTCTTGAGACCAATCTAGGATCGAAGCCGAGCCATCATAATTGCAACTCAAGTGTACAAACCACTTAACTGACTAGTATTACATTGTTTGTGATAACAATAGCGGCGGTGCAAATATAGGTGTTAAATTTGTAACGAAGAATTTACATTTGTATATTTTAATTTAAAATACAAAATAGCAAATTTTAATTATATTTGTATTCCAACATACATTTTATCACGGAATGTTGATACCCCCCTATGTCACCACGCACAATTTAAACTCGCCGTCTTATCATATGATTAAAATTATCAATTCTAATTTTTATTTAATCATGCTTGAGATAAAATTCGCGTACACGCGCAATACTTTGTGTACATGGTGTTTTAAAGATAAAGATTGGGATTTCAGTTCTTTTATATATCTGGGGCTTGACAACGAAGTTGTGTCTGATTTAGCTGAAAAAGATAAACGTGCTTATAACAGCACCATATGTATACTAATATATAAAGTTGAAAGGTTTGTGTGTTTGTATATTTAAACGCACTAATCTCAGGAACTAGTGGTTTGAATTGAACAATTGTTGATGTAAAAAATTGTCTGCGAACGACGGGATTCGGACGACGTGGGTAACAGCTTAAATTTGAAGTTGAACAGTAGGTTTGCAAAAACAATGTTTAATTGCTAAAATAACTGTTCTACGCGGACGAAGTCGCTGACTCAGCTAGTATCACATATTTATTGTTGGAAACAACTTCCGCAACTTTCAAAATTTTATCTGTTACGTCATCCGCTCCCCATCGTTCTTGCGAGTTAATCTTAAAAGAGAGACATATTATGCTGTTGGTGATTTTTTTTTACATTTCTTAAAGAAGAATAATCACATTGCACATGTTTATTTTTGTTTGTAAGAAAAATACTCAAACTCACTGTCAATTTTAAATATTCTTTCACAATTATAAACATCCATTCATACTGAATAACGTAACGTAAAGATTAGAGATCGTAGTTAAATTAATCATAAGAAAATATCCATGTCCATAGTGTGTTATAGCGAAGAAACACACATTTTCACAATCTAGAAATACTTCCTACACGTCAGCTAGTACATTGTTTTCATGGGTTGCGAACAAAAGGGAAAAATAAGAAACACCCTGTAAATATTATCAACGTAACTATGACCTCAGCGGCAATTTCAGCTACACGCGAGACGCGCTGCGCCCGCGCAGTCATGGCTTCAACCGCTAAGGTTCTGGGCGTCACGGCCACTATTGTCATCGGCCTTGCTCTTATAGCAGGTAATTTGTTGTTGGATATGGGTTCGCAATCCGTCTATATAATATATTTTTATTTTTCATAAAATATATAATTCAATTTATATAACTTATTTTTAGTAATTTCACGAGAAATTATTATAATTATTCACAAATTCACCGAATGGCATATACAATTAGTTTTTGAAGTGACGTTTGTGATAGTAAACATAATTTATGAATTGTATTTTATCTATACAAATAAGCAATTCAAAGAAGCGCGTGTTGTATAAAATTAAGCCACAAAATATTTCCTCTTTTTTAAGGCATATCCGTTTCTTTCAGCAAATCTGTAAAACAGCTACATCAAAATACGGTTAAGAAACGCAAGCAATAAAATAAGAAATCTGTTAGCAATTGAGTACAATACAATAATTGCCTCTTTATTACTCATGTAACTACCGTTTCAAATTGAAGACTTTTATTTCGTAACCATCTTCGCTAGTCCAAACAAAAAAGAAACAACAGTTTAAAAAATCCCAATATATTTTATCGCCAGGTGGTGTAACATGGGCCGTGCTAGCCACGAGGGGGTCGGACCCTCTCCCACCCGAGCTGATTCCCTTGGATTGGTGGCAGCATTGCGTTCTTTACCAGATATACCCCAGGTCTTTCAAGGATAGTGATGGTGATGGTATCGGAGACTTACAAGGTATGTTATCAATACTAATACTATAAAACTAGAGCTAGGTTAGACACGAATCTCAGAAACCGTTGATCTGATTAAAAAATTACTGTTAATTAGTTTTTTTTTCAGCGGACTCTTTTAGTGTTCTACTGGTAGGCCTAGGCGCTAAATCATTTAAAATTTGCACCGCGTGAAATACATGTTGTTAGCCTTTTTAGGTAAGACACAGATTAACACAAATTTGAAAGAAAAATAAATGAAATTGTATGCACTACTGGAAGGTTCACCCTCGACGAAAGCGGATGATTTTACAACTAAAATCAACTTGGTCGATTTTACCCTTAAAAAGACATATATTGTGATAATAATATTGACATCGTATGTTGTATTGCCATCGAATAAGTTTGCGTTCAGAATGACGATGTATTTAACATAATGACTATCACGACTTTGTAATGACCGACATCCCGTAGCGGCGAATAAAAACATATTTCCAACGATTATTATTTTTATAACGAGGTTTTAAGTAATCTCACTTTTTCGGCCGACTGCGCAAAAAATGTTGTTTGGGTTTTTGTTGTAAGTGGAGGTAACATCAAGATAAGTGTTATTATAGATCCAAATTATTACTAACACACTAGACCGATAGCAGTAAAGATTCATTGCGCTCGTTTGTTACAGGATTGGTTTCAGTATTTTATTAACAATGTCAAGTAAAGCTACAGCTTATGAACGCGAATAGTATTTGTCAGCTAGAATTTCTCGTTCCAGGCATAATCAGCGAGTTACCCCACTTCGTAGACGCTGGAGTGGACGCAATATGGATGTCACCGATCTTCGAGTCGCCCATGGTGGACTTCGGATACGACATCAGCAATTTCTATAAAATCCACTACGAGTACGGCACCATGGAAGACTTCGTTGAATTTCTCAATAGGGCACATGAGCTTGGTAAGTTCGAAAAACAAGCTAGAGGTAAATTCAGACTATTAACATTAACATCCAAGTTTGTTTGTATTTCTTTGCGCCCTAACTAGGCCAACAAAACATTTTATTTTGTACTAGTAATGATTTTGAATCAATGGTCTTTACAACAATATAACTTTATTAATATAATCGTAATCCGCAATCCTTCTGTTTCCTTTCCGGTATTCAGCCTTTGGTGCTTAACCATTGGGACGTCTATCCAATGATAGATAATGCGTTTAAGGTTGCGTTTTGAGGTACAGAGGCAGTCACATTTTTAAAGGCTAAAGAATTTTTCTAGAAATGAACGTGCCACGTATAAAAACCAGAAATTGTATACTGATTGTATGATTCCTTATCTATATAAGGCATCTTAATAACCCCTTTAGTTGAATCGCAATTTTCGTAATAACTCACAACAAAACACATTGAGAACAACAATAAATTACCAGAGATAGCGGCCAAGGCCGATAAATATCTGACGTTAACAGAATTTCTAATCAAATTTCAGAATCCTTCAAAGATTAGGTGATAACTAATTAATCACAAAAACATTCAAATTTTTTTCAATAATTCGCAGCAATATTAGATAATAATATATGTTCGTTTAAGTGTTTTCGATTACGTCAAATCGAGCAAAACATCAATTTATTTTAACGTTATATTTAAAATTAAAATATGCATTTAAAACTTTAAGGTTTACATTTCAGACATTACAAAAAGGCCTTATTACAAAAAATACTTAAACCAGAACTGCTGAGTCTTGGTTTAACTCTTAAACCATGGTCTAAATGAATCTAAGTTTGTACCTTAGTTAGTTCGGTACATACGTTAAACTTCGTTTTACGTTAATCAGGATTTCAAATAATTATTTCATATAAATAGAACAGAAAAAAGAGTACTTTTCTTTTTAATGCTATCGTTGTTTTCTTTGGCTTAATTATCTAAATGGATAGTTGGTTGAGCTAGAGTTGACTAGTCACATAGACAACTCATGACCGGGCTATAGTGCTATGACACGAACGAAGAATGACAGAATATCAACCAAGTTGAAAATATTCATTTTATAATAGTTCTTTCCTAGTTTGATTAAATAACTATAATTGATTGAAACATGATTGATTTTTACGATATCAATTTTTTAATTCCTAGGTATAAAAGTGCTTCTAGACTTCGTACCAAACCACGCGAGCAACCAATCGGAGTACTTCATCAAGTCTGAAGCTCGCGATCCAGGATTCGAAGACTTCTTCGTTTGGGCAGACGGAAAGGTAGACCCAGATGATGGAACGACAATTCTTCCACCATCGAACTGGGTATGATATATTGCATTAAAAAGGCCAAAATTAAGGACAAAGCGTTGCAATAGCCAAAATGCATAGATAATACTCAAATAAACTACCTACATTTAAATTAGTATAATGATTAATTATTTAGTAATTTCGACGAATATTACAATTACGAATAAACCGATAGACAATGGATAAGTTATTATTTATTTTATATCCAAAAATATCTTTACCACTTCTAGGTCAGTCAGTTCGGTGGATCAGCCTGGGAATGGAGTACGCGACGCCAGCAATTCTACCTGCACCAATTTGCCGTTCAGCAGGTCGACTTTAATTTCCGTAACCAAGCTGTCCGGGAAGAAATGTTCAACATCATGAAATTCTGGTTGGACAAAGGGGCTGACGGGTTTAGGGTCGATGCGCTGCCATACCTGATAGAAGCCGATCCAGCCGACCACAACGGCAGTTACCCGGATGACCCGCTCAGCGGGCGAATGGAGTTCGAATCGCACCAGCTCGGTTACACCATTCCGCTGTACACTAAGGACCTTATAGAGTTGTATGACGTCGTGTACGAGTGGAGAAATTACGTGGATCGTTATTTGGAGGACAATGGCGGCGACACTCGGTGAGTCCAAGTTTTAACGAGACGCCTTTTTATGAATAACCCTTTTGTGTGGTTTTCGAATTGGAAGCGAGTGAGCTTCTAGGATATTTCTTTTGGGACGTGCTTCTTTTTTCTTATACTTAGAAACCCTCGTTGGTTTACTTCTCGGGTCATCGCTTTTTGTTAAAGATAAGAGGTTTTTGAATACTATTTTGCAATGCTCTAAAAGGTAACATAAAAAACAAAATCATAAATCCGAGACTTATAGGTTTTTTAAAGTGACTCAAATTCGTTGCATCACGAGTACAAACACGATATAAAAATTACAGGGTGCTCTTCTCCGAGGGTTACGCCAACGTCTCGATGACGATGTTGTACTATGGGAACGAGAAAGGGACTATCGGCGCTCACTTTCCTTTCAATTTCGACTTCATCACGGATCTATCCTCCAAATCAACTGCGAGGGATTTTGTTTACGTCATCTTGAAGTGGTTAACTTACATGCCGTACGGAAGAGTTCCTAATTGGGTGGTATGTAATAGATATTGTACCATCCCATTCGTTATAAATATTCATCGCTACGCCACCTGTTCACCACCAAGGGGCTTAGGTCTGTTGACTAAACAACTACTTATATCATAAATGGATTGTCATAGTGCGTAAAATCACCTGTGATAGAACTTTATTTCTATATTAAAATCGAAGTGTAAATTTGCGTAATAATAATTAGAAATGCATAAGGAAGCTTCATATTTTGATAATCGTGCTTCAAGATTCACTTAGTATGTCGTCGTATCTTTCTCAGTTTGGAAACCACGACAACAACCGGATGCCGACACGTTTCCGTGAAAATATGGTAGACGGGCTCAACTCTTTGAATATGTTGTTACCGGGAGTGGCTGTCACATATCAGGGGGAGGAAATTGGTAAGTCGACTGTCATTACCACAAATGATAACCTTAACTTATAAAACACCGAATCTAATAAACTATAATGACATTCAGGCATGAAAGATGGGTACGTGTCGTGGGAAGACACAGTCGACGTCGAAGCCATTAACAGAGGTGACAACGAGACCTATATGTTGTATTCGAGAGACCCAGCGAGAACGCCGTACCATTGGAACAATGCAACGAATGCCGGTTTCAGCACAGCGGAGGAGACTTGGCTACCGGTTGCAGAAGACTATCCAGAGCTGAATCTGGCTTTACAGAAAGAAGCGCGACGCAGTCACTTCAAGGTACCAAATTTTGTTAAATGCAGGGTTTATTATTAATTTAATGCAGATATGGAGAATACTATATGCAAACAAATACTGATGTACTGGTTTTTAGATTTATTTAATCGCGGATACTGCTTTTGTTCAAGAGGGTTGATGAGCTCATTCTAACCTTAATTTTCTTTTAACCTTCAGGTATACCAAGCGCTCACGTCTCTAAGGAAAAAGGAGAAATCTCTTTCACACGGAGAGTATGCTATCCGGGCCCTATCTGACAGCACTCTCTACTTAGTTCGGTATTTGCGGACCCACGATACCATAATCTTGGTATTCAACGTTGGGGAGGCCAGTGACTCGGTGGATTTGAGCAGAATACAGCACTTGACACTACCGGCAACTGTTTACATCTCTAGTATACATTCCTCCAGACTTGCTGGGTAAATAAAAAAATAATTTTGCGTACATTAACGTAACTAATGAAGAACGACAGATACTAGATGCAATTCTAAGAATGATTTTGCTCTGTGGTTTAGTTTCAACGTGTCTTAGAATTAAAGCATATGTTATCTCTTAACACTATCATAGAAGAAGGTGGGACAATAGGAAAGATTGTATGTTTAATCTCTTGTTCACAGGGACAGCATCGACGGCAAGCAGATAACGTTATCAGCGGGAGAAGCAATCGTCCTAAGATCGAAACCAGTCTCGTAAAATAGCCTACATCTTTGTTTCTACAAAAGTTTTCGTGACTTTTTTAATAATGTTTTGTGACGTATGAGAGATAGCGCTGATATAAAAAATATTCGGCTATAATTTAGTGTTATGTGCGGCTCTTAATTATATAAACGTTAAAGTAAACCACTTTTAACGTTTAAATAAAACACTTTAACGGTTTAAAACGCGATATATTAGGTAAATTTATTTGAAACATCGGGCCGAAGTTAAAAATCACTTTCAAATAAGTTAAACTAATATATCGCGTTTTAAACCGTTAAAGTGTTTTATTTAAATGTGTACTACTCACGTAAGCTAAAGCCAATACTTAATTATACAAACTTCTATATGCTATTTTTAGAATTATTTTATATATTTATTACGGTACATCAACAGATCGGTAGGTACTTAACATCACATAAGTTAAAATACCTATGTAGGACCCAATTACTGACGTACACAGCATTGTTAACTTAAAATTAGTGTTCCGAAATATTTAGAGGACAGAATTTTTAAATCGTGTAAAAGAATCAAAGTAAGGGTCGGCGTCGGTTTCTCCCGTGACATTATTAAGGGTCTCATATACATGGTACAATGGACGGTTTCTACCTACGTTCGTTTTTGGTGTATGAAGATAAAATACTTTGAACTGTTTCAGTCTTGAACTTGATATTTTAAAATGTTCGTGTATTTATTTTAAAAGTGTTACGAATATAATTCACGGTGACGTCCAAGTTAAAAATATTAAATTATTTAATTGTAAATATTGTACATAACTCGTATAATTTAGTCGCTAATTAAATAATAAATGATAATTAACTTGATCTTTTAATGTCAATCATGCGGTGAGAAATGAGATCACATCAATCAGGTCTTATTTTAATGTGTCATGGGCAGTGGGGAAAATTTGTATGTTAATTTCAATTAAATATATATTTACGTTGAGTCATGTGTATCGTACTGAATATATAGAAAAAAATCGCAAGTTTCATTTAGTTTTACTAACATACGTAATGATAAAATAGATATTTCGTGCGATAGGGCAATGGGCAGCGTGCCCAAAACGTTGGCAACCCCTTTGCGGTGTTGCCACGCTTCTAAATTACCACTATCGCAAATATCTGTTTATTTACTTAAATTAATAGGCCTTATTAAGTGTGGTGGCGCAGCTTTTTATGATGTAGGGGGATAGATAACCGTGGAGTATCACTTGATAGAAGGCTATTTTGCCTAACCATAAAGCATGCGTTGTCGACCTTTTTCGGATATCCCTAGACTATGGTGACCCCGACGAAATTTCGATATTCCCACCGACATGTTTTAGAAAAATTATAAATTAATTAGAAACATGTTGGGCCCGGGGAGGATGTTGCTCTACCAATTGAGCTACTGAGTCCTATACCTCATCGTCGATTTTTTCAACTTATAGATACGATACATACATAAGTTCCTTCATGTGCAATAACATGTAAAAAATAATAAAGTTTTTAAAATCAATTTATTTTAATTTGTATCTAATTAGCTCTCGACGCTTCAGAGGTTTGAGTATTCTTTGAGACACAATTTTGATTAAACTTTAACAAGACTGTCTGGTAATCCGAGAAAAAAACTTTCCAGCAGGACCTGCTTCTTTCTTGTCGATAACGCAGGAACAAACGATGGATTTTAATACAGTTCTAGTACACGTTGATAAAATAAACCTACCCTGCTCGCCTTGTTTAGCCCACCAAACAATAACCGATCAATCACTTATAACTATGAATACTAGATCATTCTATTTATCTTTACAACACAAATGCACCATAATACCAGATAAGTGTTTACTGCTTCAACCGCCAATTCAAATCAGTCTGCAAAATGCCGACAGCCAAGACGCTCGGTATAGCACTGGCAGTTCTGGTCGGTCTCGGGCTGGTGGTGGGGAGCGTAACGTGGGCTATTCTGGCTACCCGAGGTCCGGCACCCCCCGAACTTAAGCCACTAGACTGGTGGGAGAATGCCGTCATTTACCAGATATACCCGAGATCGTTTAAAGACAGCAATGGTGATGGAATTGGGGATTTGAAAGGTAAATCCTAAATTTATTTCGATATTAAATTAGTACTATTATATATAAATAAATAAAATAATATAAACCCCTCATTTATATAAGTTAAAAAATTACACTTAATACCTAAAGAAGGTAGAACAATTAAATAAATAAATTTATTATTACATAGTAAGTCGCAAACGTCTTTAAATTACTTGGGCTTGCGTTTACAAATGCGGCTGCAAATACGTACGGAATTAAATTTTAATTAACTAAATTAGGTTTGACGACTGAATCACGTCATTAAATGCTAAAAAACAATAACAACACCGCAAAAATGTACAAAATATAACATTCCTTTTTTTTTGTTGAAAAATCTAATATTTTGTACACGAAAGTACACACTGTGCTGATCTAACCAAATGTGCTACTGTACTTTGCTACTTTAACAAAGCAGTCAATTCAGGAAGAGAAGCAGCTCCGTGCTGTGGATGCTGTCGCCACTTTTCTCAATCCAAATAGATTTTTAATCTATACTCTATTTTTAGTTGCTTAAGCATTATATTCCCAACATCTATGTTTAATTATTGAAAATGGACTATGTATCGGAAAATCCGTAATTTTCTACTAATTGGGTCTAATCTTTTTATCGTTGAATTTATTAAGTGAATATTATGCTTCTGCTGCTCTCAGAGAGCACTCGATGAACTCCACTTTAAGACTGATTTTACAGGGATCACATCGAAACTGGAGCACTTCATAGACGCCGGCGTCGGTGCGATATGGCTCTCTCCAGTCTTCGTCTCCCCCATGGTGGACTTTGGTTATTGATATCAGTGACTTTTACAACATCCAGGAGGAATATGGAACTATGGCGGATTTCGAAGAACTCGTGGAGAAGGCACACGGTTTAGGTACTGACCGATCATTGCTAAATTTCTTCAAGCCATCTAATTCGTGCGGATCATAAAAGCTGCTTTAGCAGCGGGATATTAAAAATAAAAATAAAGGCACTCGGGTCGTTAAATAAACAATAAGAGTATTAGTTACAGTATTATTTATTTTATTAAAAACATTGATTTCCAGGCATCAAAGTCCTTTTAGATTACGTTCCAAACCACGCGAGTAGTGAATCTAAATACTTCGTAAACTCTCAAGCTAGAGTCCAAGGCTACGAGAATTATTTCGTTTGGGCAGACCCCATCATTGAAAACGGCGAAAGAAAAGTTCCATCGAATTGGGTGAGCATATAACCGATGTTTATTTTAAGTGTCTCATCTTAAGAATAGACAAAATAATCTTTTTACCTAATGGTGATAACGAAACGCGATACCGCGAGATTAGAATGAGTATTTTTCCTATAAATCGATTTGATTTTACAATATTAGTGATATGACAAGGTCAATATCAACTAATAAAATCTATAGTTTACGAGTTTCCAGTTTTACCGGATTAAAGGCGGCGTCCAGGAAACAACTTTCCAACTATGTTTACAAATATAGCGTTTTAGGTAATCTTAATTTTTTGAACTTTGCATGCGGGTAGATTTCTTGAAAATAATGTGAATAAAACACATAAATTAACTAATACATTTCGCTTTTTAAACTGTTAATAGTGTTTTACAAAAATAAAATCTTGAAGGTTTTAAAAACTTTCATATTCCATGTAGTAGAGTTTATTAGGAACTCAATTTACAAGTTACGAATGAAAATTTTCAATATCTGAAGCTTGTATATGTATTAATTTTGCGTGTTATTAAATGTCACTTTTCTATGCAACGGACGAAGTAACGGAAGCTAATAATATATATGCCCATATGCCAGATAAGTCAATTCGGCGGATCAATATGGGAATGGAGTGAGGAAAGGCAACAGTACTACCTTCATCAGTTCGCTAAAGAACAGGTGGACTTTAACTTTAGAGAACCAGCGGTCAGAGAAGAGATGCTTAACATCATGAAATTCTGGTTCGGCAAAGGAGCAGATGGATTTAGGTTGGACGCTCTACCTCATCTCCTCGAAGCGGATCCTAAAGACTACGGTGGACAGTACCCAGATGAGCCTCTCAGCGGAAATATGTTTTTGAATCCAAACCAAGCCGGGTACACCACGCAAGAATTCATAAAGGACCAGGTGGAGCTGTATAATGTTTTATATGAGTGGAGAGAGTTCGCTGATAAGTGGAAGGAAGATAACGGCGGAGACACCAAGTAAGATTTATTCAATTAGGCTTTTAATGAAACTTCTTTCGAATAGGTAAGCTTCTAGTGCCTATTCGAATTTTTAAGATTTGTATTTTGACGAAAACGTATAGCTTCGAACGAAAAACAAGAGTTTCCAAATCAGCCCTCTACACTACTAGCAAACTTTGAACCGGGGGGTAGTTTTTACCTTTAATAAACATTAAAGAGCGAAAGAAACAAGGGGTGCTCTTGCTTGGTGATAGACTTATCGGAATTTGCAGAATACTATTAGCGGAGGCGTACACGAACATCACAATGACGATGCTGTACTACGGCGATGAGCGCGGAAGACGGGGAGCGCATTTCCCGTTCAATTTCGACTTCGTGATCAGTCTCTCCGCTGAATCCAACGCTCGGGACTTCGTTTATGTAATCAAACGCTGGCTCACGTATATGCCTCCGGGACAAGTTGCTAATTGGGTCGTAAGTATGGCTTTAATACTCGACTTTTGAGACTAGGAATTGAAAAGCGCAGTCGAGCTCGCTCACTGCTAGGAAACTTTTGTACATCTACATTATTAGATTGCGTCGTAGTAAATATATATTGAAAATTTCTCATATGAACTAGTGACTTCCCGCAACATTTCTTTTAAGAGAATGTATCTTTACAAAAGTTATTATTATTCATGCATAAAACAACTGAAGCACAAACAAGTATACAACATATAAAAACAAAGGTATGTATTTGTAAGTTATGTGCATTAAAATGTATAAATTTTACCAGTCTGGAACTAACCGGATATTTCTCCCATTTAATTTCGTTTTAGTTCGGTAACCATGACAGAAAGCGGATGGCGTCTAGATTCAGACCAAATATGGTGGACGGACTCAATTCCTTAAACATGATGCTGCCCGGGGTGGCCATCACGTACCAGGGTGAGGAGATAGGCATGAGAGACGGCTACATCAGCTGGAACGACACTGTAGACGTGCAGGCATGCAACCAGGCTAACGAATCGAACTACTTAGACTACTCGCGAGACCCGGCGAGAACGCCATTTCAATGGGATAGTTCATCTAACGCTGGGTTCACAACCGGATCAAAAACCTGGTTACCGATAGCCGAAGACTATCAGACAATCAATTTACAATCTCAAACAGATGCGCCTCAGAGTAATTTTAAGGTTTGTGTGGACAAAAGCAATGTTATATAATTAAATAATAATAAAAATACTGTAGTTTACGCGAGTAGTACACATTTAAATAAAACACCTTAACGGTTTAGCAGCAGTCTCCCCGTGTACACCGTGCAAAGCATCTGATACGTCGGGCCTTAGTGAAAATAATTTTTAAATAAGTTTAACATAAGATTAATATATATCGCATTTTAAATTGTTAAGTATTTTATTTTAAAATGTTATATGTATAATTTTAGCAATGTTTATAAAGTAACAATAATGATAGTACACCTCAAATTAAACAAAAGAATTGATGTCAGTTCAAGTCCCGCCCATGACAACGAATTTCTTCAATATAAACTTTTTTTTTAGGTCTACCAAACTCTCACGCAACTAAGAAAGGAACCGGCCCTCTCCCACGGGAACCATCTTATCAAAGCCCTCACTGAGAACACTCTGGTAGTCGTGCGGCATCTTCCAACTCACGACACATACGCTCTGCTCTTCAACGTAGCCACAACAAATGACACAGTAGACGTGTCCAAGGTCGAATTTCTAGCTGAACCCCTCAAAGTGCATATATCGAGTGTACATTCGGGAAGAAAAGCTGGGTAAGTTGAATACGACAATTTATTTAGAAACATTTTTAATAATGAGAATAATTACAAACTCCTATTTACTGACATAAAAACAACTTAACTTTTGGAGTCAGAGTAAGTTAAACAGTATTATCGTACATAATAAATTAAGAAAAAACTTTCCGAACTCAACTAGCTTATTAACTTACCTCTTAACGGTCTTAAAATTAAACAAAGTTTTATTTTACTGTAATTTACTTTGGTGCCCGTTTAATTTCTATGCTGATATAGAAAAACAATAAACTTTTTGAGATATACTTTTCAATAAACATATAAATTACTGTTTTAATATTAATATGATGTCAGTATACTTATCTCTCTGCCATAAAATGCTGCTATCATATCTTTAAAGTGTATTGAAGTTTAAAGAACGAATTTATAATGCATACAAAAACCCCCATAGCTGGAGTTTATATTAACCTTCAACACCATTGAATTAACCATAAGTTTTAAATTCTTTCCTTGATCACGCAAACACTGAGGCATATCTTTGACATCTAAGGTCGACATCGTCTTTTACTCGTGATTGAACAGAGATTTTTTTCTTAATTACGACCTTCGAAGAGGCGTAGCTTTGCAAGTTTGCTGCTAAAGTTACAAGGACCAGAATCTGACGGGCCTATTTTTCTAATTGTGACAATATAGCTCACCGTATTCTTCCGGACCTCGTTGTTGTTTCTGCGAATTTTCCGAATATTTCACCTTCCTTTGAGTAGACCTCGTGCTAATCTATCTGTCTCTATCATATAAAAATGTGTTTTTTTTCTTCAGAGATACACTAACATTCGGCCAGTTGACTCTACAGCCAGGGGAGGCTTTAGTACTACGCGCTCCACCTGCGTAGAATTTTGCATTAATCGATACATACATACTGTTGGTATAATAAAATTTACACGTTAAAATTACAATAACTTTTTATTTGTGCCTCACCGACAATAATGATAAGACCAAACAATCAACAATATGAAAAGAAGTCTAGTATATTCCGCTTGACATATGAAACTTTAATACCTATTTAGTTTAGCGTACTGATCTTAAACACTACCGTTTTCTCATTAGAATTATTCTTTATAAGTTTCTAAAGACCACTCGAGAGCAATGGTAGTCTCAGTCAGGGTATAAGTTTCACGTCTCACAATATAAACATTTCTTTTCGCGTGGCGTGAAATACCCTTTACTCTCCACTCTCGAGTGAATACTATAATATTTAGTTCTGGAAAAGGTATAGAATTGTAACTTTCAGTTCTAATTAAATGACAACCAACAATAATGAGTGTAGTTACCGTGATAAACAATTTCCATCAAATAGCACTTAGAAGCATTTCCGCTAGTGATGCGCGCTTACAAACTGTGACAACGTGCGACCCAATTACAATATTTTTATACAAGCTTTAGTAAATATTAAACCTGTCTGTTTAAAAGTAACTAATGTGATTTAAAAAAAAATAGTTTTATAAGTCTTTAAAGCTCGTTTAACTAAACTTTTAAGGATGTAAGTAAACGATTCTTTTTTGACCTATAATATTTGTTTATCTGTTTGCTAAACTTCCGTTTGCTAAATAAATGAAAAATAACAAATACACCGGCCAAGTGGTAGAGGTGGGTACGAAAATTACATATTATAACATATAAAGTACTATAGTTTTTAGATATTGATCATAAATAGAGGAAAAAATATACACAGTTATAAAAATCATCTTCAGGTAAAACGTCCCCTTTCTTCTGGGTGACAGACAAACAAGAAGTCTTAGTAAAGTAGATGGTAACAGACACTCTAAAAACTGGGTTTATACCGGCATGTATGCCACCCGTAGTATTAATTATGAGTCCCAGCAATAGAATGTGGTCAGCAAAAGCCTACTTGTATTCGTTTTGCATACGACATTTATGATTAGACCCTACAGTTAGTCTTAAAAATACATAGATAATTACTTTACAAAACTTAGCAAGGTCAATGTCTCCAAAGTTATTCAAAGGTATTTTTCATAGGCGTAATATATTTAATATCTTTTGGGCCCACTGCATTGCGGGTTGCAGTGTTCAGGCGCGCATTTAGTCATTGATATTTGATTATAAAAGCCTATGGGAAAAATAACCAAATTGTGACAGTTAAATTTGTTATTGTGAACAATATTTCGTCGACGAAGACTTTTCCTGTAATCTCAGGAAATAATTTATTTATTGATAAATTATATTGCATTGTCATTGATAATAAATAAGTATTTACTTTGTTTGCGTCTCTATGATGCTAGGTGATAGCATTTTAAAGGATTGTACAAACACAAAATAATTTAACGAATCACCTGGATTCTACCTGGATCCCAGTCCATATTTAATATTTTTTGCATCAGTTTGAGAATCGTTTATACAATCACCATCTCTCCATCACTAGCACGAGCAAGTAATTGAATCAGTCTGTTAGTTAGTGACTGGTACAATGTGGTTGACTGCATTTGCATATCTAATTTTGGTCAAGTGTGTGTCGGCGCAGTGGTGGAGTGACGCTGTATATTACAGGGTTTTGGTGGACTCATTTAAAGATTCCGATGGCGATGGATTAGGTGATTTGCGAGGTAATTTAGGGAAAATTGAGACTAACACAAACAAATAAAAAATACAATGGTATCAAATATAAAAATAATGAATATATTGTTTTTTTTTTTTAATTTCAACTTTAAATATTTGTAGGTGTAACTAAACAGATGAGCTACATCAAAGGGTTAGGCGCAGACGCACTGATTTTGTCTCCGATACAAGCGAAAAGTCGCGACTGCACTCGTCCTGGTACAATCGACTTCACTGAGATCGACAGTCGCTATGGCAACGAAGAATCTTTTAGTAAACTTGTAGACAAATCTAAAAAATTGGGTACGGGACTACGACTTTTTTTCAATGGTTATCAAATTTTTTTCCTTCTTGAAAATATCTGAATATATGCTATATTTTACAGGCCTCAAAGTATTGGTGACTCTGGAAGTCCAGAGTGTCAGCGTGGCGTCTGAATTCGTCAACTCTAGCGCTGTAAAGAAACCTGGTTTTGAAGATTGGATCGTTTGGAGGGATGGCAATGAAACGAATCCACCAGAAGTAACTTTAATTCATTCTTCATGTATCTTTTGCAAATTCATTTGGACTTTATTTGTTCTATTTAGCATAATTATTATTTACATTTAGTTGAAATGGCGATAAAAAAAAATTGTACCTGAAAAAATTCTATTAGCAATAATCTACTCTCATATTATAAAGCTTGTTTGAATACGCAAATATTAGGCACAACGGGTTCGTTTCGAAAATTTATAAAGAAAGAAAAGTACAGAGATCGGTTAACAAATCGGTTACAATTATAGTCTTAGCGGCTTTTTGTTGCGTGTGCTGAGAAGTAACTTTAATTCATTCTTCATGTATCTTTTGCAAATTCATTTGGACTTTATTTGTTCTATTTAGCATAATTATTATTTACATTTAGTTGAAATGGCGATAAAAAAAAATTGTACCTGAAAAAATTCTATAGAAAATCTACTCTCATATTATAAAGCTTGTTTGAATACGCAAATATTAGGCACAACGGGTTCGTTTCGAAAATTTATAAAGAAAGAAAAGTACAGAGATCGGTTAACAAATCGGTTACAATTATAGTCTTAGCGGCTTTTTGTTGCGTGTGCTGTTGTGTGGTTAAAGATATCCCAAAATATGTATAAAACGATTATTTTTCTTTAAATAGTCTATAAAATGGTTCCGACACTAGTTGCCTATTTTGAGATCTACTCAAAGTAACGTTTTTATGATAATAAATTTTTGGTTAATATACTACTTGTAACAAAATAACGTTTACCAGGTCAGCTAGTTAATAATAATGCAACTCAAGGAGTACTACAAAAAAATAATTTTCATACATAAATAATATTTTCCCCAGTCGCAAGTTGGAGTAGAGAAATGGGTCTGGAATGACGTACGTAACTCCTATTGGGCATCTAACAACGACGAAACAATGGTCAATCTCTGCTCTGAAGATCTAACTGAAACACTGAAACGTAGCGTATGCACTTGGATCCAGCGGGCGGTATCAGGTTTTCTCCTAAACCCTGACTTCAAATTAGACCAATCATGTGGTGTGAGGTTCTTGAAGGCCATGGCAGCTACGGCTGCTGATTGTACTAGACTGAATAAGGATCGACCGTAAGTTTATTTTAATTGTGAACAATTTTTTTCTTTATTTTTTTTAAACTTAAATATTTTTTTCATGTTATTGCCGTTTCCTACACGTCATCTACACGTTAGCTCAATTAAAGCAACAGCACGGACCACTAAATGCCGGTTCAAATCCTGCCCGTGTCGTTTTCTTTTTTAATTTTTAATCGATTTATAATTTATTTTTCTTATATAGGAATCTTTTCGTGATGAAGTGCACTCGTAATACCTTTACATGTACCTAGAGGTCAATGGCCCGGCCTACAAATACCACCATTGATTATGTGTTCCCTAATTCCAGAATAACTCTGGTGGAAACTGCGCTCGATGTATCCGCCGCAGCCAATTACTACGTGGACGGCAGCGGAGTCATAAGTAACTTAAATGGGCGAGTGAGGAGAACCGCGCCAGATTTGGCTCTGGCGATACAAGCCGACGTCTTGTTCCGCCCGCAAGATATGAGCCTCGCGTGGCCTGTGGGTTCCTTGTTCTTGTCAGCTGTAATCTTGTAAGCCTCGAAGATATGGCTCGGGTGGCCGATATATAAAGGATTTAGTAGTCATACATTTAAGACTAGTTGGTTTTCGCGATAGATTTTACTTAACATCTGACGTTGATAAATGGTATCTGATACTTTAAAGTAACCTAATTTTTATCATACTGCCAAATAATAATAATAATAATAAATAAGCTTAACAAAATGCGCTCTTGACCTATTTTACATTTAGATATTCGGGAATTCACAGACTGATTTCAAAGTACAAATCCAAATTCATAATGTTTAAGAAAAATTACAAATTAATATATATTATATGTATAGACAAGTTCCAATGATGACAGCCGAGTGACATCCCGATGTGGAAGTGAAATGGTGGACGCAACCAACATGATTACCCTCCTCCTACCCGGTGCTGCGATCATCCACCAAGGAGATGAGCTGGGTGCAGCCGATACAATCTTAGAATGGGCAACAGCAAAATGCTGGCCAGCTCGCACCACAGCCACCGCAGCCCCATTCCCTTGGGATGATTCGCCATCAGCAGGGTTTACTAGTGGAGAACCCTGGCTACCTTTGGCGCCGAATTACAAATACGCGAATGCTAAAACTGAATTTGCTCACGAGCAAAGCCATCTTGGCGTGGTGAGGGTTGCAGTTGCGATGAGGAAGTCTCCTGCTTACGGGCCTTATTACGAGGCGAGTGCGTTATTTTATGAATTAAAAAAACAATATGTCTATCTTTTAAGATTAACTTGCAAGAACGACGGGGCTACCGGCGTTGCGGATAACACCTTAAATTGATGAAGATGAAGAGGAGTTTTTTGCGTAAATTAGGGTCAAAGTCGCTGTCACAGCTGTTAAAGTATAAAGTGACATAACTTTTGAAGACAGACAAGGCATAGGGTCAACCTTCGTTATGAATATTTAGAAATCATTATACTGAAACCGAAAAGCGATGAAATTTCACGGCTGGTGGTCGTAAATGGGCGAAATTATCGATATTTCAACTATCAAATTTAATATTCCAGTTATAGAATTATAAATTAATTAGAAACATTTTGGACCCGGTGGAATTCGCACCCACGACTCGTTAACAGCCTTACGTTGCTACCCTTAGACCGACGAGTCGGTAACCATTGAAAAACGATTTCGTACATATATTAGCTTTGTATAAAGTAGTAAGTAAAATTTGCTGTTATTTCTAACTAAATCTCTGTAGTTTACTTTAATTAGGTCAAGTCGAGTGAGAAGGCAATACTTTCTCTAATATAGGATTCTATATTAGACAAAGTAATTTAACGTTTATAAGTTTGTCAGTTTGAGCTTCCTCGAATTAATCTTTTTAACTATAGACAGTATCTTCTCGGTTACTGAAAACATAGGTATTAACTTTTTATTCCAGATAACACGTCTAGGAGACGCGCTCGCAATACTAAGATGGGGCACGACCGGTTCCCTTCTGCTGGTTTCCAACGTGGCCTATGGGGAATGTGATGTGGAACTTTCTAGAATACACGGTCTCGCATACGAAATGATAGTAGTAACGAGTTCAGGAGGTATATTTAACTTTGAGTCTTAAATATTTTTTATTATTAGTGCAATGTCTTACGGTTCGAAAAGTTAAAGTCGTGTTAAAATCAATGTACTGTTAAGTTTAAGTTAATGTTAAAGTATAAGAGGGAGGCGAGGGAACCAAACCCAATGAGTGGACAGCCAGAAGTCTCACTTCGCACACGGGCCTACAAGCAACAACAAGTCTCCTGTGGACTTTCGGGAAGAAAGGCGAACGGAGCCCACACCGTGATATCCAGCGCACTGCGCCGAACCTCGCCCGTGGCTTCGCCTCTTGGGCCGAGGGCGCAGCACGCTTCAGGCCGTGCCGACTTCTCCACCATTGCTACCTACACCAAGAATGAAATTCAACTCGTCGGGCGTCGGCCGCCTTCGCTCGACTAGCGATCGAGCTGGCTCGCGACGTGATCCGGCTCGGGCCGTCGACGCATCATCATCGAAACCCGACGTGACTCCACACACCAGCGCCACCGCCGCTGACGCCACCGCCGATGACGCCACCGCCGCTACCGTCGCCGCCGAGATCGCTGCGACGCCCATGCCTTCCTTCCTCGATTCCATCGAATCGCATTTCCTAGCCCTATCGCAAGGCTCTCCCGAGGTCCTGGACGCGATGTTCCGGTCCCTGTCGGGTGACGTCCCTCCTGCGCCGCGGGGCTCCCCGAGAGCGTTGCTTTATTCCGACGCAATTGCTTACGCAATTGTAAGGAAGCAAGTAGCGTTCTCGGACGGCCTAAACGCGGCGGTCAGGGCGTACCTTGACAGGACCGAGACAGAGCTAAGGGCCGAGGGATTGCTAAGCACTCCCCTAACGCAGGACGAGTCGGCAGTTGCCTACGGCAACATTGCACGGTCGACCCCCCTGCGTCGCCCCCGACCGGAATCCCCCTCCCCTCCTGCCCGCGACCCCAAGAGGCCGTGCCAGGACGCTACCATCCCGTCCTTCCCGGAACCCCTCTCCCAGCGGGATCCTCGGCTGCGACGAAGACTCGCGCTCCCCGTTCCGGAGCCCGCCGCGCCACCCGCGCCTGCCCCGCGCGCCGCACCTGTCGCGCCCGCTGCCGCGCTTGCCGCGCCTATCGCCGCGCCTGCCGTACGCTCCGCGCACACTCCGAGCGCCGCGCCTACCTCGAGCGCCGAGCCCGCTACTACGATCGACGCACCCCGGTCGTTCGCACAGCTCGCGGCCGCACCTGCCGCGGGCCGCCGCCCGGCATCGCCGCTGCCACAGACGTCCACCGCTACCACCGCCGCTGCCGCTGCCACCCCGCGCTACCCGCCACTAATTGTGGAGGTCCTGCCCGAGTGGACGACGCACTTCCGTGCCCTGAGGGACCGTCTCGGGCACGCGCCGAACGCGCGCCCCTTCGGCAGAGGGGTGCGCTTCTCACCAAAGTACGGGGAGGAGTACCGCACCGTGCAACGGTACCTGACGGAGCTCGAGAAGAACCAGAAGGTGTCGTGGTTCTCGTACTCGCTCCCCGCCGAACGCGACTTCAAGGTGGCGATCCGGGGCCTCCCGGCCGACACCGACCCTCAGCTCATCACGAAGGAGCTCAAGAGCAGGGGCTTCGAGCCCGTGCACGCCCAGCGCATCCAGTCATCCCAGGGGGGCCCCGGGTGCCTCTTCCTGATTATCTTAAAGAGGACACCGGGCCTCACCCCAGCCATTTTCTGCATCACCGAGCTCCTGTGCATGCCGGCCTTGACTGTGGAGGCGTGGCGCGGTAAACGCGGGCCCGCGCAGTGCCACAGGTGTCAAGCTTTCCGGCACTCCTCACACCACTGCCACCGACCCCAGGCTTGTGTACGATGCGG